GTTTGTCTATGTATTTTTGCTGCCATGTACTAGCTGGTAGGTGTTTGTCTATGTATTTCTGCTGCCATGTACTAGCTGGTAGGTGTTTGTCTATGTATTTCTGTGGCCATGCACTAGCTGGTAGGTGTTTGTCTATGTATTTTTGTGGCCATGCACTAGCTGATAGGTGTTTGTCTACGTATTTCTGCTGCCATGCACTAGCTGAAACAAAAATACATTGACAAACACCTATCAGCTAGTGCATGGCAGCAAAAATACATTGACAAACACCTATCACTAGTGCATGGCAGCAAAAATACATAGACAAACACCTATCAGCTAGTGCATGGCAGCAAAAATACATAGACAAACACCTATCAGCTAGTGCATGGCAGCAGAAATACGTAGACAAACACCTATTAGCTAGTGCATGGCAGCAGAAATACATAGACAAACACCTACCAGCTAGTGCATGGCAGTAGAAATACATTGACAAACACCTATCAGCTAGTGCACGGCAGCAAAAATACATTGACAAACACCTATCAGCTAGTGCATGGCAGCAAAAATACATAGACAAACACCTATCAGCTAGTGCATGGCAGCAAAAAAATACATAGACAAACACCTACCAGCTAGTGCATGGCCACAAAAATACATTGACAAACACCTAGGCCATGCACTAGCTGGTAGGTGTTTGTCTATGTATTTGTGCTACTATGCACTAGCTAGTTACAAAATACATAGATAAACACCTACCGCTACTATGCACTAGCTAGTTGGTAGGTGTTTATCTATGTTTTTCTGCTGCTGTTAAAGTACAAAGGAATATTACGTAATGATGAAATAGAAATACATAGCATATTTGAATGTATATTTATTTGACATAAATGTAGCTGCTGTTTGTTAAGCATGCAACCTATCAAATAACAGTAAAAATTATAACTGATAGAAATGAGACTTCATAACTAGTGAAACATTTTCAATTAATTTATGTATAAAAAGCATACATTCATTTGTCAATCTAGTGTTTAGATGTTTTTTTCCATTGATGTTCTTTATGAATTTTTGGATATATTTATTTTATGCTTAATTATTGTTGATGATACAGAACAGTTTTGCTTTCCACTTGGGGAGAAGGGGTTATCCAAGAAATTGTTTAAGTGGGAAGGAGTTATCCAGGACCCTGTATTAGTGGAGAGGTAATCCAGGACCCTGTATTAGTGGAGAGGTAATCCAGGACCCTGTATTAGTGGAGAAGTTATCTAGGTCCCTGTATTAGTGAGAGAGGCATCCAGGACCCTGTATTAGTGGGGGAAATATCCAGGACCTTTTACTAAAGGGGAGATATCCAGGACCTTGTATTAAAGGAGGGGTATCCAGGACTTTGCATTGGTGTGGGTGGTATTCAAGACCTTGTATTAGAATGGGAGGTATTCAGAATGTTGTATTAGAAGGGAAGGTATCCAGAACCTTTTATTAATATCCTGTGATGATTCTTTCATTTAGACAACACAGTAATAATATTTAAACTAGTACAAAGAGCATTTATTACTTGGTGTAGATTATTTTTACATACACTTTGTAGCTAGGTCAGCAAATGTGTGAGCAAACATGTTTGATATTTTAAGCTGTACCACCATTCTGTGAACAGAACATGGGTGCTAAATTTATCTTGAAAGTTAGATACCCTCAAAACCTATTTTGCTATGAAATAATACAATATATTGTAAATAAATGAAATGTATACTAAGCTGTTTCACACATTTAAAGATGTATAAAGCTAATTTTACTAATATTCCCTATCATTGACATAGTTGGTCAGATGATGACTGATACAGCTGGAAACTACAGTATTCAGTTAATCATAAAATGGGATCAGTCAGAAGAAATATGTTTCATATTTCAGAGCATTCATTATGATGGAAGACTTAAAATGTTAACAACACTTACATTTTTTTTATTATATTATTATATATTTATCATTAAGGCATTTGTTCATAAAAAATTAATGTTTAATTGAAGTAATGATTTGTATTTGTGTTGTGAGTTAATGAAGTAATAATTTGTACAAGAGTTCTAAATTAATGAAGTAGTGAGCTGTAATTATGTTGTGAATTAATGAAGTAGTAATTTAGATTCAGATTCTCAGTTAGTGAAGTAATACTTTATGCTTGTGTTCTGAATTCATAAAGTAATGACTTATGCTTGTATTGTGAATTAATGAACTAATAATTTGTGCTTGCGTTCTGATTAAGGAAGCAATTATTTGTACATGTGTAATTAATGAAGTAGTAAACTGTAACTGTGTTCTGAATTAATGAAGTAGTAAACTATAACTGTGTTCTGAATTAATGAGGTAGTAAACTTATAACTGTGTTCTGAATTAATGAAGTAGTAAACTATAACTGTGTTCTGAATTAATGAAGTAGTAAACTATAACTGTGTTCTGAATTAATGAAGTAGTAAACTGTAACTGTGTTCTGAATTAATGAAGTAGTAAACTGTAACTGTGTTCTGAATTAATGAAGTAGTAAACTGTAACTGTGTTCTGGAGTTATAGTTTACTACTTCATTAATTGTTCTGAATTAATGAAGTAGTAATTTGTAAGTGTTCTGAATTTATGAGATGTAAGCTGTAACTGTGTTCTGAATTAATGAAGTAGTAATTTGTAAGTGTTCTGAACTTATGAGATGTAAGCTGTAACTGTGTTCTGAATTAATGAAGTAGAAAACTGTAACTGTGTTCTGAATTAATGAAGTAGTAAACTGTAACTGTGTTCTGAATTTATGAGGACACTTGAGAGGACATTTCTTGATTATGTATACTGTTTCAGTTATTAGAATACCAGGTGAAAATTAAACTATATAATAGATCAGTACTATGTTCTTAGAAGTGATTAGATATTTAAATGTGCTTTAAGGTTGAAAAACATTTTATAGTTAAGGCTGTAATAGGTGTAATGTTTTATTTCAGGCTACCTTGCAGGATTTGATGGTAATGTCCAGTTTGATAGAATTGGAAGCAGTAAGTAATTAATTCATTTGCATTTTAAGTGTATCTAAGTCTGTTACATTTGTTGTACTGTTTTGCAAGATGTTTTAAACCTTTTATTATTTATATAATTTTCTCTATCTTTGGTGCTGCACAGTATTATAACTTTCAAGAGATTTATTTTTATATTCTATGGTCTTGGAATGCTTAAGATTATAATATTTCTTATTTCATATGTGTATGTGTGCTACCTTTGTACTGTTGTTATTGTGACCAATGTAAATATATACTTAATGGTGAATTACATAAAAAAAAATAAAACAATTGTACACATGTTTTTTAAAACTAGTGTATTTCATGTAGTAAAACAACTATGAAATAGTCTTAATATCTGATAAAATCATGTTCTGTATATGAAATCTGTTGAAGTTTGTAAATTTTCACAGAGAAATAATTTATTTTTAGTTTTTATAATAAATTAGTTAGTTAATGTAAGATGTAACTAAGCTATGAGACCTAAAATATAATAACTTGAACTGAAAAATATTTTAATTATGAGGTTACTTAAATTTATAATTCAGTGAGCAACACTATGTTTTGGGCATTTGAAATCATTGTTGATATTGGAATATTTTGTGGAAATACTTTTTTGTAGTTGTAATAGCTGAGTTCTTAATGACTGTCTGTGAAGGAAATGTTATAATTAACTTTTTCATTGATAATAAGTCTACAAAAAATTTTTAACACAATTTATTGGAAAGTATGTGATAGTACTTGTCATCTGAACGATATTATGTAAAGTACTTGTTGTTTCTCATCTATACAGGTTTGTTCTGTTGTAACCCTACAGTACAACCATTGATTGAAATGCAAGAGAATTAGATCTTATATTTAATTTATGCAGAAATATGAGAAAATAACAAGTGTAGTGTCATGAAGCTGAATTATTTTTGCAATGTTTCTTCTCCCATTCCGTTGTGTCTATCTGCAGGGTTCATACAGTCATTAAAATCCTGGAAAAGTCATGGAATTTTAAAATCATTTTTCTAGGCTTGAAAATCCTGGCAAAAAATGGGCTTTTAACATAAAATTCATGGAATTTTTGTGTAATCAATAAGAAGTATCCTACAATGCTGTAATTAACAGTAAGCTGGCAGAACTTAAAACATGAGTAGTAATGTTTGATATTGATATATATATATTTGTTAACATTTCATATTTTATATGACTGAGGAAATAGAATAGCTTATCTTATGTTATTTGACTCAGTGTAAAATGATTAAGAATTTGAAATAAAGTTTGTTAAGCTGTAATCTGCCTTTTACTTGACTTATCTGAAGATGTGTAAATGTATTCCGATAGCTAAAACATGTCATGAAATTTAGAGTAAATGTCATGGAATTTATTTTTCAAAATTATATATGAACCCTGTATCTAACTTCCAGAATCTCACCCTGTGATGGTCAATGGGTGGGTTAGAACTATGCTCAGGTTAGTTTTAAGGTTTAAATTAGTAGGTTAGTTGAGAATTTGAAACTTCAGTGCCAGTAACCTGTTGTTCTGTTATAACTAAGATATCTACTTTTTTTACGTGATTATAACAGTTTAAAAATATATTGGTGTTTTGCTAAAAGTTTGATATTAATTTTTTATGACAGAATATCCTAATGGCTTCCCAGTGTGGTCCCTTCGTGCTGTTCCTGCTTTTTTTGGAAGTCTTCTTGTTCCTGTAGTCTATCACCTTATTGTTGAGTTAGGGTTAACACATAAAACAGCTGTTCTGGCAGCAGTGCTTGTTATTTTAGGTAAGGCTCTCCAGTGAACAGATTGTTTTTAGTTCTTCCACATCATAACTTTGTCAAGAAAAGGAAAACATAAGATTCAGAGTGTTTGGTCCTCTGATGGATTGCAGAAAGCAAAGCAAATACATGGTAAGACCTAGAGGTGTGTGCCAGGACATGCAGTGATAAAGCTAAGCGACATAAGCTGACAAGCTCATAAAAGAAGCCCCTATATTAAATCCATCACAACTATGCTGTTAGGATATCAATCTCTTCTTCACTAGTAAAGTAAAAGCAGCAACCATGGAAGGTCCTTATTGATATACATAGAGAATGAGACTGATGGAGAACAAAGTACCATATGGTGTAGCTGGAAAAGCAAATGATGGGAAATCAATAGGATAGTATACAGCCAATAAATTAAATCTCTTCTATTTCCTTTGAGGCAACAGCCTCCACATAATGGGTTAGTGCCTGTCGGAACAACCCCTGGGATTGTCACTTATTGCTCAACTAAACTTCCGAGATACAACTTGTTGCAGACTTTTAGTTTTATTATTAGCTGGTGTGAGCAGCATAAGTGGCTTATTATTAAAAAAAAGATTGTAAGTTAAAGAATTATTTTAAGTTTTGGTGATACAAACTAAAATCTTTTATACTTAACCACGAGATTGTTCTTAGTATGTATTCATGTGCCTTTTCTAAAATCTGTACATGTGTGTGCAGAAGCAGTACTACTCTTATTACTGTCTTGTTGTAATCTAAAGTACTCTGATTTTATGTTTACATAGTAATTTTGTTCAATATACATAGTTCACAATATCTGTACTTTTAAGTGTCAAAATGTAAATCTTATTAATACCAACTTGCATTAAGTGTTAAATACATACTACAGAGTATTAATGAACAAAAGAAAGAATGTTGATTACTAATTAAGAGGGATTTTCTTCAAAAAAACAAACATATAAATAGAAAAGCATTTGATTATACAAATAAAGTTTGTATTTATATTTTCCTTCAGAAAACTCCCTTCTAACGCAATCCAGGTTTATTCTCATGGAAAGCATGTTGCTGTTTTTCTCCTTTTATGGAATCTTAGCTCTATTAAAGTTCAGAAAATTGAAAAACAAGTAAGTTTATAAAATATTTATTGTTTCCAAACAGTGAATATATAATATGTGCTTTTTTTTTTCTTTTAGAATAGTTTTTTTCTAACCCTTGCTTTACCAGCAACCTTTTTGTTTCACAGAAAGTTCTAAGTGTATTTTTTTATTTATTCTGTTTATGAAACTACTTTTTCGATAGGAAGATACCTATATTATTGTAAAGCACAGGTTATGTTCTTTGCTTTGGTTATAGCATCAGTGTTTGAACATAGTTTAAATTAGGCAATAACTCATTCATTAGGTCTAACAATTAAAACATGTATATTTTAAATTGTTTAAAAATTCAGTCCTTGTTTTTTGGAAATGTTTGAGTGATAGTACACAATTTGAGTCAAAGAATCTTGGTCATAGGAGAAGGAGCTACATATATTTTAGTAAATTAATTTTTTGTTGTTAATGCTGTAATTACTCACAGAATTTTCTTTTATTTAGGTATCCTTTAAAAGAAATTTTTCTAAGGTTTTTAATGTTGTATTTTCTGTAAATTTATATAAAAAAAAGTTCAATTTCAAAATATAAAGATATATACATGAAGAATGTAGTTGAAATAGTTTATCCTTATATAAATGGAATATTACTGTATGTATCCAATATTTTTTGGATTTCTTGATACAAAGTGAGACAAAAGATTTTCATTCATATTGTAGGTTTGTAGAATGTGGCTGGAAATTTAAATTAGAAATTATAGAATATATATGAAAAACAAGAATTCATGGATTCTCAATATTTCTTTTGTTTTCACTTAGGCCATTCTCGCCATCTTGGTGGTTCTGGTTGTTTATGATGGGTTCATCGTTGACATGTGCAATCTGGTAAGTCTCTTTCTTGTGTTTTCATACATGTGGCTCAAGATCTTTAACTGGGGGAACTTCTCGGATGTGATGCTGTGTTTCCTAAATATGTAATTCTACAGTGTCTTGGCTGTTATTCAATTACGTATTTGACAGTTTCATTTCATTTAGACATTGTACTGATGCTGACAGAACTGGTCTTAGTGGGAATCAAAGTGTAGAAGTAAAAAAATGAAGTAGCAATAGGGAAATACAAAAAACAAAATTTTAAAATGTGAAAAAGAAATGAAAAAAAGGGAAGAAACATCAAAAGGGATATAAAGTCAAACAGGAAGGGAAAGAAAATTGAATAAATTTAATAAAAAAAATAATAGTTAACAAAATTTGCAGTGTCAGTAATGTCAAAGCATAGAGAGTCATTGTGTTCGACATTTAGCTGCAGCGTGAATTTTATTATTCATGTATCTAGTTCCAGAGTAGACTCATACACAGCAAATGTAACACCTGTCAGATAGCCAGTACAGAAATATAGAAAAATTTAAGGACTATCCCACCCTTCCTTACTAGAAAAATCTAAGTTCAGATGATTCAATAAATGCTTATTTTTGTTGTATAAAAGGGCATGACTGATGTTATTGGTAGTTTCCCTTGCCATTATGATTTTTTGTTGTTAAGAACAACACTACATAATGAATAATCTATGCTTGGCTCAATGCAAATATTGAAACCAGATTTTAGCATTATAAGTTGTTTTTTTTTTACTTCAAGGGAAAAAGGGAAGTGCCCTGTGATTTGAGGGTTTGGGTTCAATTCCTATTGCCACCATACTTGCTTACCCCATTTTTTATAATGAGGGAGCTTCTGAGTCTATCTGCCCCTGTCACTAATTTTGAACTGCTGACTAGAGAGAAGGTTACTGTCTGGCAGTATCTGCTGTCAATTTTTGGGCTACCTTTTGTTTTGCATACACGAGGGAATGAACAACATGGTTTCAAGAAAACTGTACTAATTGATTATACAATGTAATTAATAGATGGGCTCATTGATTATGCCACTAATTGCCCAGCTCTACACATCATAGTTCTAGGTTTTATGCAGATGTTTGTTAACATTATACTAATATACATCATTAAGCTAACAGCCTCAAATTATTCAATAACAGGTAAATAACCTGTTAATTCTTTGTCTAAATTGCTTCTTAAATGCAATAAGTATCCAGTTTATGCTTCTCATTCAGTTGTTTGGATTTTACTCTTCATGTTGTACTTTTTTTCCTTCAATTAGTTATATTATCATATTTTTATTTATGTCTGATCTGCTGACCCTTGTGAATATGTAAAAGCTAGAGGAGGCTTCTGTTAGTGTATGAAATATATGTCTGTCATGTTATGATATACAGATATATTTTAGGTGATCATGGGGAAAAATTGGGACATACTCTTCAGTAGTATTCCTTTGACTTTTGTTATGCGAGAATAGTGGTACATTACATCAAAGTACTAAACTCTTGTGAGTTTTATAGTGTGGGCTTTTTTCACCTGTCTTAAGTTAACTTTTTAATAATGCTTTCCAATACTCTTGCACTTGTTTTTTGTAGTCTTTATGGTATTACGAACTGATCATAGCTGACCTCAGCCATTTTAACGTATGACAATGTTCATATGACAATGTTCATATTCGTATCACTGAAATCTGTAACACATTTAGATTCTTTTTTATTTCTTTATTACATTCATAATAGTGTTTTTAGAATATTTTTTTAATAAGGTTTTAGCTTGGATTAAGTGATTCATTCATTTTTTCCCATATTTGACTTTTACATTTGAATCATTAAGGAATTCATCATCATCATATTATTATTATTGATTTCTAATGTAACAGTAAGTCAAATAACTTTCAAACTGGTTCCCTTCAGCTGTGAAACCTATTAAATGCTGTACTTTGTGGGGAATTTTTTTTACACAGGGGTGAATTCCCCCCCTGTACACCCCTGAATTCAACATTGGCACCAAGAGAGTTAACTATAAAGATGAAAATGTTTTGTAAATGTGTCCATTTCAATAGGCCTTGAACTCTTAGTATAAAATACTTATACATTTTTCTGTACTATATAATCTACTGTAAGGAAAGCCAAAATTATATCCTATAAAAAAGTTAATGTTTTTTTTTTCTTCATCAATATAGTGTGAAATACATCGGGTTTTTCTCTGCAGTCCTGGCAGGAACTATTATAACCTGGGATTATTGGCATATGATTGCTGACAAAACAATATCAGATGTAAGTAAAGTGTAGTTTGTTTTCTTTGGGCATATTTTAATAAGAGGCCATTTGAAGATGTACTTCTCTTTTTTTATTAATGTACCTATTTATATATTTACTTACAAAAATTAAACATGTGATAAAAGCACTTATAAAATCAACCTTTAAACATAAATAATAAAAAAAATTCCATTTTAAGATTAACTTATGTCCAACAGTTGTCATTGTCTGAAGTTTTTCTTTAATTTGCTTTCTTAGTGTATTTTTTTTTACATTTTGTTTTGTTTTATTGTTCATATCTGATAAATTTAATCTTTTTATGAAATATAGCAACAACTATTATATTTCCAGCTTGCTTTACTTTTGAGTTTTACTGTTGTGTAACAACTCATCTTGTCATTATTAATACTAAATACATCTGGCTTCTCTTTGTTTCATACAGTTCATTTCTCTAGTATGCTGTAATGAGATTACTAAGTTTGCAGTACCTGCTATGTCATGTCGTGTAGTTATGGACACAAGGTGTGCCAGTTGTCTCATTTTTTGTAGATTGTGCTGATATTTCTGATTTGTTCCAGCTATCAGACTTCCTCTCTTGTTCCTGATGGGATTTAAGTTTTTGCATATAAGTGCTGTCATAGAGGCAGAATGGTGTAGTGTGAAGTGTCAGTAATGCAGTTTAGTGTATAACAGATGTTGATTATTAAAAACATGTTTTCCTTCTTAACTTTTGGGTCATCAGAGGTAACCCTCTTCGTAACCTTCAAGAGAGATTAGTGGAACAGTCATTGAGAGAGTGGTTGAAATGTACAAGAGCTATGATATAAATTTAGTGTAAATTAAGGTCTTCTGTTACTTTTGTTCAGACTTTAAGGAAATCCTTTTGTATAACTTGTTAAGCCCACTAGACTCTTTTATTTCAATTGTTTTCATAAAAAAAATGATTTCTTTGCAGGACAAGTCATTTTGTAAAATTGTTTTTTAATTGTAATACTGTAACTGCTAAATTAAATTAAATTTATCTCTTCTTAGCATTTTTTTTTAAGTTTGAGATGATGTTTGACTTGTATGTTTTCTTACAGAAAAAATTGGTGTTACATTTTTTTGCAAGATTTTTAATGCTGGTTGCTGTACCAGTTTGCTTATATCTGCTGACATTCTACATTCACTTAAACCTTCTGACCAAGGCTGGGCCCCATGACAACATCATGACTAGTGCATTTCAAGCAAGTTTAGAGGTAGGTTTGCTTACAAAAGATTGGAAAGTAGATGAAGAAATATAAGAAAATGAAAACATTTTTTCTTATTTGGTGATTTACCAGGTTTTTATGGCATTGGCTGCTCAACGTGGTCAGATGTTTTTCTTTAAAGTAAATATTATTATGATTGCACATTTGTATAAAGTTCTAGAGACAGCATATAGTTGAGAAGGAAAAGTGAAGCTTTTAATAGATCAAAACTGTATGTTTAATAATAGTTATATATATTAGTGTTTCCTTTTCCAAGAAAATAAAACAACTTACAAATAAAGTTAGAAAAAAAAACGACCTTTACACTCCAGATAATTACAAGAGAACTTTTATTTGTAGAATAATACACAGATTATTCTCTACGTTAAAATCCTTTTATTTGCGAGCTTTCAGCCTTTATATATTGTTGCCCGATAAAAGTTCCAATAAGAGGGCCAGAAACTCGCAAATAAAAGTATTTTAACATAGAAAACGTTTCTGTGTAATTCTAAAAATTAATTTACCTATGTTATGAGTCTTAAACAACAGAGAACTTATATTTTAAATGATGTTTCTTCTTTGGGGCTTCATCAGGGCTAGTACATAAAACTGATATTAGAATATTTGGTAAATTATAGAACTCAAGAAATAGAACATTATGAGCAGTTTTATAATTTCATGAATATTCTAATATCAAACATTGTTATGTACTACCCCTGAAGAAGTTGCAGAAGAGAAACATTATTTAAAATATAAGTTCTCTGTTAATTATCTGGAGTGTAAAGGTAATTTCTTCTAACTTTATTTTCAAAACTTACAAACAACATTTCTCAAACTGAGACCAGGGTTTTTGAAGCATTATTGGGCCTAACATGGCCTACTGATTAGGGAATTTGACTCGCGAACAGAGGGTTCGAAGTTTGAATCTCTTCAATGAACATGCTCTTTCAGTCATGGGAGCATTATAATGTGATGCTCAATCCCACTATTCACTGGTAAATAAAAGTATCCATGAGTTGGTGGTGGGTGGTATTGGTTAGTTGCCTTCCCAATAGTCTATCACTTTAAAATTAGGGATGGTTATTGCAAATAGTCCTTGAGTAGCTTTGTGTGAAATGTAAGAAACAAAGTAAGCGTTTTTTAAAGTCTAATACCTTGTCTATGCATTGAAATAAGCAGTCTCTTCATAACCTTAGAGAGTGATAGTATAATGTTAGAAAGTTTTTGTATTTATATTAACAACAATATTTTGAGCTTAACCAGCACTTTGACATTTTATCATCTCTTAAAATTCTTTTAATAGGGAAATATATTTTATTTCTTTTAATATTACTTGTGTGAAATAAAATTTATAAGTTTTAACTGAAATTAATATTTTTACAAGCTTGATTTACACAGTTGAAATGCATTAGGTGTAAATTATAAGTAAATATAATTTAAAAACATGAAGAAAAAAGTTTTCTTGCGAGACATTTAATTTCTGAGGGTACTGTGTGTTTGTGATAATTTTTATTAATATATTAAAGTTTATTGAAATATCTTGGTTTCAAAGGTCACAAAAGGTAATTCCTGGTTATTACTTTATGCTAAAATATTATCTTTTTAAATGCTTGTATTACAGACACATGTGGCACATAGGTGTATTTTGTACTCAACCTTTTTCTGTGTTATTTTCTTCCCATAAAATTTGTATGGTAGGTAAGTGAATTACAATTCTTATGAAAAATAACCCTTTACATAATTAAATATTGTAAACATATATTAAGAAACAAAATAAAATTTGGATGTATAGTGTATGCATGTTGGCAATTAAAGAGTTAAGTGTGTTTTGATATTTAAGGTATTGTTTTTTAAATACCATTGTTTTTGGGACTTGAAACTAAGAGTTAATCTTTACACGAATCACATTCTTCATGTTACAGGGTGGACTAGCTTCAATTACGAAAGGTCAGCCATTAGAGATTAGTCATGGGTCACAAATAACATTGCGCCACACACATGGCCGTGCCTGTTGGCTACATTCGCATCCTCACGTGTATCCCTTACGATACCCAGATAAACGAGGCAGCTCACATCAGCAACAGGTGAGGCTCTGACGAATATTCTTATAAAGATAGATACATTTCTTACATGACACTTATACTTTCAAAGTTATTATTTTCATAATAGGATTGGCACCTATGTGGATATGCAAACATTTTATTATGAGGACCCAAAGTACAAGATATGAAGAGACAGACTCTTGCATAATAATAGTGAAGATGATAGAAGTCATGCAATTGTGTGTATTTGAATAATGATAAGTGGCTTCCTGTGTGGTGTTAGTTTTCAAGTGCCTGGTATGGAACCAGCACCCTTTCCTGACCACTGTTCTAGGGACAACACTGAGCTGTACTCATTACTGGGTTGATTTTTAGTTCTAATCTATCTTGGTTGCTTGCTTTGATAAGAAGTTAATATTAATAGCATTTAAGAGTTTGTGAATAAAGGAATCGTATTTAGAGTATATTTAAAATTTTGTCTGCTTTGATAAACCTTTGAAAAACACAATTAAGGAATAATGAACAAAAGACACAGAAAAGTTAGAAGTCACTAAGTTAGATATCTAATTTTTTCTTTATAGGTGACTTGTTACAGTTTTAAAGATGTTAATAATTGGTGGATTGTGAAACGTCCAAAAAAGTAAGCTAATTTTAGTTTCAACTCTTTATTGATCTTGCTGTGATGTTAAGTGAGTTATGCTTCTAAAACTTTACAACTGATAATATTTAGATGCAAGTGTAATTCTGCTATCATGAAGATATAATTTTCCATTCATGTCTCTTTCTCCAAGTTATATAATGAAAGGATACATAAGGTAGTAGTGAAACGATAAAGTAGAAATGTAATAAACTTTCTAATCTGCCCGGCATGACCAGGTGGTTAAGACACTCGACTCGCAATCTACGGGTTCGAATCCCCGTCACACCAAACATGCTCGCCCTTTCAGCCATGGGGGCATTAATAATGTGACGGTCAATCCCACTATTCGTTGGTAAAAGAGTAGTCCAAGAGTTGGCGGTGGGTGGTGATGACTAGCTGCCTTCCCTCTAGTCTTACACTGCTAAATTAGGGACAGCTAGCGCAAATAGCCTTCGTGTAGCTTTGCGCGAAATTCAAAAACAAACAAACTTTATAATCTTTCAAAATTTACATAAGATGTTAATCTCTTCACCAAAACAGTGAAGAAAAGATGACATAAGACTCAGTCTGTTCTTTCATTTCCTACTTGTGCTGTAACAGACTAGTTTTGCCGAATTCTTTGCTCATCAGTTCTACCATCTGCCTGTTATTTTTTTTTTAGTTATCCTATTTCTTATTTCTCAATATTCCCTCAAAGTAGCTTTATTTTGTTAAAAAATAAAAGCCAAAAAACTATCTCTATTTTTGTTCTAAAGCCTACTGAGATATCTATGGCTACTCTCAGGTACTTAATCATTACGTAGTGTGTCAGTCCTGCTAATTTGATGAATATTTTTATCTAACCTACACAGGAATGATCTGGTAGTGTCTGAACCCGTGGACAAGATACGTCATGGGGATATTATCCAATTAGTTCATGGAATGACTAGTCGAGCACTCAACAGGTAAGGAGTCATCGTTTTAGAATATATATATATTTTAATGATTTCTTTTATAGTAAATTTTCTAATTCTTAATTTTTAGTGTAACTACAAATGAATTTGGAAAACTGATTCATATCTCCAGAAATATAGGAAAGCAATAGCAAATGTTCAAAAATACAGACTTAAATGATTAATAGATTAATGATTACAATTGCTTGTACTGTAAATTTAATATTTTCCACAATTAAAAATTAGATAATTTATTTGTAGCCTAGTACTTCATATTGTTGTTTATATCAAAGTAACGTGTATGTAGAGCTGTATCTGTAACTTAATATTTGAATCAAGAGAGTGGAAACATTGTAGTAAGTTGTAGTTAATAACTTCAATCTGACTCTTAAGTAAGGCAGTAAACAAGGTGAATGTTATGTTCATTTACTTCATTGAGTTAAATTTTACATTTATCTCTATTAAGTAAATAAAATTTGTGAAGTTAAGTATCGATTTATTGGTCAAAATGTTTCTTTTATTAATACTTTGTAGAAAAAAAAAAGAGTTGTTTCTAAACTTTTCACAACCAACCTTAACATGGGCTTTTGTTCATTGGACATGACCAACCTAGTTGTTTAAAATTAATTATCAAATTTAAGTGAAAAACATATTTTCAGTTTTAAAAGCATCAAAAATAACAAATTTCAATATATTTTTGAGCTTTAATTGATTTTTAATGTATAAAAAGAGAAATTTTTCAGCATTTAAAATTCATGAATATTTTAGAATTGTGTTGGAACAGCCTCAGATGCTCTGGCTGCTGAGGAATTTCACTTAATGATTTAATAGAAATTTTTAATAATAACCATCCTTAAATATCTTGCTTTCAATAACCATCTTAAAATACCTTACTTCAATTAACCATCCTAAAATACCTTACTTTCAATAACCATCCTAAAATACCTTACTTTCAATAACCATCCTAAAATAACTTACTTTCAATAACCATCTTAAAATACCTTACTTCCAATAACCATCCTAAAATAACTTACTTTCAATAACCATCTTAAAATAACTTACTTTCAATAACCATCTTAAAATAACTTACTTTCAATAACCATCTTAAAATAACTTACTTTCAATAACCATCCTAAAATACCTTACTTTCAATAACCATCTTAAAATAACTTACTTCCAATAACCATCCTAAAGTACCTTACTTTCATTACAATTTGGTCTTTGGAAAACCATCTCGAGCATAAACAATGCTTTTTAGTCATAATTCATTTTACTAAATGAAATTCTTGTTTTCTTCTGTGTCAGGGAAGTTTTATAGAAAATATTTCTGTATGTGCTGAGGTCTCCCAGAAACCACTGGGCTAGAAGATGTAAAGTCGTTACGACAAATGCCGTTGGATGGCAAACTGTGATTATCAGTTTGTCTTAAGTTGAATGAATCAGTCATAAAAACATTTACGTGCTTGGTTTTGATACGGAGCATTTAATTATACAATATGTGGCTAAAACAAAGTAGTGGTAGGTGAGACTAGCTCAGCTTAATTCATTGTGATAGTTCTGTTAAATTCTTAGTAAATATGATCTGCACTGGTTCTCTATCATTTAAAATTTTGACACTTAAAAAGTATAATTAAGAAAAACGTTTTGTATGCTTTAAACATTTCTTTTTCTAAGTGTTACTGTCTGTTGGAAAATAGAAAATATATCTTAGTATGACAAACAAACTAGTTGAGGTTTACTCAGTGTAATGTAATATTTCAGCACGAATCAGATTATGACTTGCTTTTATGAAGGTAACAATTTATTGGATACTACATAAAGATTCAACTTTAAATGTTTGAAATAAGTTCTAGACATTGAGGTAGAATGAAGCAGAGCTTCAACTCAAACCTCACCTACTTGGAATTAACCAGAAGAGAATCTTTAAGTAATATTTTCCACAGCACTTTACACATCCCATCTATTTTCAAAGTGCTAATGGTTTTTCATGAAACTTTGTTATTTTGGTTTCCAAGTGATCACTTGTGTTTTTATTGTAAACTGAAAGAAAAATGATGAGACATCTTTTCTTTAATGTTACGTAAGACTTGAAGAGCACTGTATTAATGTATGTTGTGAATTTCCAACATTATGTATAATCAATTTGTAATATTGGGATGAAAGTTCTGACAGTACCCATATACGTTATGTTTCTTCCCTTCACATTTGGTCCAAATAGTAAAAGTTGTATTTTTTTAATACAGTTAACAAACAAGTATAGCTCAGGAAATTGTCAGTTCTATTTATATTATTTTTATCTCTTCATACTTGTGAAAACTGTCATATTTAATTCATCTTTTCATTATTATCTTGTTATTATAGTCACGATGTTGCAGCTCCTATGTCCCCTCAACATCAGGAAGTGTCCTGTTATATTGACTATAATATTTCTTTTCCTGCACAGAATCTGTGGAAAGTAGTAAGTAAGATCCTGATAAAGTATGTTAAGTTAATCTAAAGAAGCACAGTTATCATATGGTAAACGTGTCTAAAATTGCATTTGAGAGATTTTCATCAACCTGTTTAAATGGAGTGCCTCAACAACAAGAGTTGATTAACTTCTGTTAACATATTTTAACAATCAAAGTTGAGTTGTTTCTAGAGGTGGAAAGCATGTATTAGGGTATGGGAGATTTGACTGGTTGCATGAAAAAATCAGGAAAAGGAATTAAGAATTTAACTCATTTTTATAGTATGTTTTATCAAGTATGACTAAGTCAATGATTACATAATGCAAGTTACAAACTGTAAAGTTCCTATATTGATATTAATTATTTTCAGTTTTTCTTTGTGACGTTAAAAATGGTATTTTCCCATTTTCCTTCTTTGTCAGACTTTTCGATGAAGTATAAAAAAAACAACAAATAACTGCATTCCTCTTTAATAATTCTGATCGTTGTTCATTACTTTTAAATATAGTCCTAATGAAAAATTCACTATAAAAATTGAAAATATATATTTTTCATAGACTCATAATTTAAATGACAGAAAAGTTCATTTTTATTGTGAGAATACCTTGAAAATGATTATTAAAGAAGCAATATGATCGTACTCCTAATATATGAAAAAACATTTTCTTTAACTTTAGGAAATAGTGAATAAAGATACTGAAGGAGCTGTGTGGCACACCATTCATTCCCATGTTCGACTTATCCACGTCAACTCAACACAGGCCTTAAAAGTATGTTTAACTCCTATATTTTCCTTGAAAATGTGTTGTTAAACCCGTTTAAAACAAGAAAAAATTTGTACTTACATTATCTTGTATAATTCTTATTATGAACAAACCTCGTTAATAAGTATGTGTTTTTATTTGGTGTCTAGATTTTTCTAAATGGTACAGGTAATGATGGATATGAATTTTTTATCTTAGTTTTATCATTTTAGCTTAGAAGCATAAACCAACTAATTAACAAAGATTTGAATCCTAGGACAAAGTTAACGACTTATTTGCTGTCATCAGTAAATGCTTTTCAATTTCTTTAATGAAAAGGTTTCCTAAAACTGTATTAAAACTGAGTTATTTTTCATAATACTTGCCTCCTTTTCATAAATAACTTTAGGTAAACAATATTTAGATTTTTTTTATGACTTAGCAGATTTGTGTTTCATCTATAATAACATTTGCATCAGTTAGAGACAATTCTGGGATATCTTGAATCTAAAGTTTAAAAGATGCCAAAATGAAGTGGAGCCCAATATGTTGAATGTGAGTTTAAATGTACTCGTTTTATACCATTTTATCTGTCACTAGTTTAGTGGAAAACAGTTGCCAGAATGGGGATTTAACCAGCATGAAGTTGTGACTGACAGAGTAATCAAACAGGATGACACTGTGTGGAATGTGGAAGAGCATCGGTACACAAAAAGTATGTTTTAGTATTTTATGTCTTACTATTTCTCATTTATGGCCTGGCATGGCCAGGTGGTTAGGGAGCTCGACTCGTAATCTGCAGGTCACGGGTTCGATTCCCCCATCCCACCAAACATGCTTGCACTTTCATCCGTGGGGTATTATAATGTGACGGTCAATCCCACTATCCATCAGTAAAAGAGAGAGTAGCTCAAACATTGGTAATAAGTGGTGATGACTAGCTCCCTTCCCTCTAGTCTTTCACTACTAAATTAGGGATGGCTAGCACAGATAACCCTCATATAGCTTTACACAAAATTCAACCCAAACCATACTATTTTCCATTCAGATGTTACAATTATTATCCTAGCTGGTGATTAACAGTCTGGCTAATTTATCTTAATGGTAAAAATGTTTGTTAATGTATACTCTTTAGAAAGAACATTTATTATTTTGTTTATCTATGTAAGATTTGTAAAATTTGTATGCAATTTTTTTGTTTTTATGTTTTAAGTTTGCACAGGAAATTTGAAATTTTGATAATTTACATCAATTTAGATGCTGACCAAAAGGAGAGAGAGCGGGAAATGGGAATGGCCGAGTTTGTTCCTCTTCAGCCAACTCAGTTGTCATTTTTTGAAAAAATATGGGAGTTACAGGTAAACTAATTACTGAACATTTATAAGTGTTGGAGAGTGTAATTTATTCCTGTCCAAGTTGTTTAAGATGTTTTTCAAGTTTCTGTTAATTAATGTAAAAAAAACAAAAAACAAATAGCACCATTTCCAGAATTTCGAAAAAGCAAATTATTGATAGAAATGTACCTTAAGATGAATCTAAAAAAAATCTGCTGAAAAAAATTAAAATTTACCATCAGTTATTAGGGAAAGAAAATCCATAACCTTTCTTATTTTGTTGCACTGATTATCAAAGAAGCTTTTACATTTTCTCAAAAACTCTGAAACAATTTATTTCATCAAAAGAAAATTTAGGAAATCTGGAATTTTTTGTTATAAAACTCGTAATTTGTTTATACAAAAATTATACTCGTTAACTATCCTTATATCTGTCAAAAATATGTTTATGAATTTTATTTTTCTGACCATTGACACAGTGAGAGATGATTTGCATGGAAATAAAACTTACAAACTTGTATTTTATCATGTAAAAACAAGCCTAGAGTGTCAAGAGGGAGTTTTGTGAGGAATTAGAATTTGAAGCTTATTTCCAGCAGTAGATCAAAACGATTCAGAAACTGTCAGTCCACAGTTTGGTTAATAAAACAAAGTGACTGGTATTTCTCAGTCAGACATATAAAACTTATAGAACATGAAGTACAGAAAATCTCGCCAAACTAAATAGTTTTACATAAAATAAATATACTGAAATAAAGACAAATAACTGATCATAAGAAACAAGAGAAAAACCATAAAAAGGGAGAAGATGAGAATAAATGGTTTGTTGAAATTTAATAAAAAATATTATAATATTTTTATAATAAAAATACTCTTCTAATTCTGATTTCCTAACCTATTTTGATACTCATGAGTCAAAACATTTATTACTTTGTAAAAATCTATGTTGCATTTTATTTTATTTATAATACTTATCATTTCTTCAATGCAAAGAGAGTTCAAACATGGTCAGAGAATGGAAATTAAAAGATTATTTTTGTTACACCTTAAAATCATAGTATTAGGAGTGGTTGTTACCCTCTTAAGAAAAAAAAAAAAGAGTTCATTGGAAATTTAATTCTAACAAAAGGTTGAGCATTTTCATTTCTAATTAAAAGTAACTGTTCATTTTCATTCTTTCAATTCCATTTATCATCATCAATCCCAAAACTTTTGTTAAGATGTTTTAGTGCTCAAACACTGGAAACCTTAAAA